GCTCGGGGAGCTCTGAAAGGAAGGAAATGGCATGAACAAAGGAGCTAGGGCACAGCAGTGGTGACTCACACAGGGAACACTCCGGCCCATTGCGTTTATGTTTATAGTTTCCCAAGTTTATCTATTCAGGGTTATAATTATGTTAACCTCACCTCCCGTCCTCCCTTTAAAAAAAACCCAAAAACCAAAAAACAGTCAAAGACTCTTCAGTATCATGAATGACCCTGGGTGAAGAAGACATCTGACACTTTTATATCATGCCAATACTTCGATCCAGCCTTTTATAATCAGTGTGAGGAGAAAAATTTACTTGAAGCTAAAGGCCTGGGAAGTGTCAGCTTTTTCCTGTTTGATGTTTCTTGTTGTGTTTTCCTTATTAATCACTTCATTTTCCCCTTGGTCACAAGCCTGATATTGTTTTTCCCTCCACATGTCAGCTGCCTAGTGTGTCAGGCAGTTTTTCACTGTGATACAGAGACACAGCAGAGCTGGAGCTGGCAAGGTTACTGCTAGAAATGTGTGTCACTCTTGATGGTTATGTTCACGAGCATCCAGAAAGCCCAGTGCTTCTGAACTGAATTTACAGGCTTTGAAATGACCATGTGGTTTGCATTCAGCAAAAAAATATACCCCAGACATGTGCAAGGGTTGCTGGTTTGGGGAAAATTAGATGACTCCAACGTGAAAAGACAGAGCCTATCTAAAGAGATAGGAGAGCGAGTTTTTTTTTTTTTTTTTTTTTTTTTTTTTTTTTTTTTTTTTTTTTTTTTTTTTTTTTTTTTTTTTTTTTAGAACAAATCTGTTGAATAAGTGGATTTGGATGTAATCACAGGCTTGCCATATGAAATTCTATTCCATGGGAATTAAAGTTTGTGGCTTTGTGAAAGCACTTATTGCAGACTATGAAAATTTCTCATATTCTTTTGCCAAAACATAGAAACATGGAGAAGTACAAAAAAGCTTCTACTGTGGCTGTCTCCTCTAATCCTCTTAAACACTTAACATGTCCCATGTACATAGCAGGGAAATGCAATACAGCGATCCCTGATAGTGTAGCAACTTAGATGTGGAAGGCTTCTGCTAAGGGAATAGGAAGACTAAAGAGAACAATTCTTGTATCAGTTAGGAATTGTGTTTCACTGCAAGTATCAGAGCTCCCAGGTAGTGGCTTTATCCGTCATGTTGAAGCAGTCCGGAAACATCTGTCAGGAGCTGGCATGATGGCTCTACAAGTCATCAGTCTCTAGAGCTCTCCAATCTGCCACCTCCAGGATGTGGCCCTTGTCTGATATGGCTGCTGGGGCCCTCAACATCACATTTACATTACAGACAGAGAATGAGGGAAGAGGGGCATGCCACCTCCCTTTGCAGGTCCTGCCTCATAATTTCCAATACTCCCAACGACATCTCATTGGCTCGAGCTGAGTAGCATAGCCGCACCTCACTGTGCACCTCTAAATTCTCATAAATCTCATTTTTTGAAAAATTAACTCACAATCTTCTCTTGTCCTGACCAGTACTGCAAGAGATTGGGAGAGTGCTCGTACAACAGTGAGATTGTTTAGTGACTTTTCTGGATGATTCCATGCCAAGAGGTCTTCCTCTGTGTCCTTTCAATGGTAATAACTAACATCACGAATCAGTCAGCGTTTCCCGGAGGAGCAGACTTGGCAGATTACACATATTAAGGGATTTATTACAAGGAATTGGCTTACTCAGTTGTGGGACTGGCTAAGCACGCTTGAAATCCACAGGGCAAGCAGGCAGGCTGGTGGAGCAGGCTGGAGCCGGGTGAGTGGAGCTGAGGCTTGGAGTCTCTGAAGCCAGGGAGGGCCTAAGCCCTCTTTTAAAGGACTCAGCCTACTCAGGGTAATTACATCAGTTCTACTCGGGATAATCTTCCTTTTGACTAACTAAAATCAACTGATTTGATACCTTACATCTGCAAAAATCCCTTCACAGCAGCAGTAGATTAGTATTTAATTGAATAACTGGGTAAAGGCACGTGTGGACACCCGTGTCTCCTTTCTTTGTTCAACTCTCAGGAGACAATATCCTTTCACCCTAAGTGGATGCCTACAAGAAAGGGAATTCTGGGCAATGTAGTTCAGCCCAGCCACATCACATACTATTATTTAGTAGCAATGTAGAGAGAGACGTAGGTAAAAACAACAGTATTTCTTCATTCTGATATTGGCAGCAGGTGAGTCATCATTATTGGCTAAAATCAGGAACTGGTATTAATGCATTTTGTTTTCCGCTTTGTTCTCCTCTGTTACAGATAGTGAAGAGTTAGTGAAGAATTTGAGGGTCATCAGCTATTGTGAACTCATCAAAGTTAGTAGCACTTAAAATTTACAGACACTTTTCAAAAGAAGACATTTATGAGGCCAAGAAACATATAAAAAAGTGCTCATCATCACTGGTCATTAGAGAAATGCAAATCAAAACCACATTGAGATACCATCTCATGCCAGTTAGAATGGCGATCATTAAAAAAATCTGGAGACAACAGATGCTGGAGAGGATGTGGAGAAATAGGAACGCTTTTACACTCTTGGTGGGAGTGTAAATTAATTCAACCATTATGGAAGACAGTGTGGCGATTCCTCAAGGTCCTAGAAATAGAAATACCATTTGATCCAGCAATCTCATTACTGGATATATACCCAAAGGATTATAAATTGTTCTATTATAAAGACACATGCACATGTATGTTCATTGCAGCATGTTTTACAATAGCGAAGACCTGGAACCAACTCAAATGCCCATCAATGTTAGACTGGACAAAGGAAATGTGGCACATATACACCCTGGAATACTAAGCAGCCATAAAGAAGGATAAGTTTGTGTTCTTTATAGGGACATGGATGAATCTGGAAACCATCATTCTCAGCAAACTGACACAAGAACAGGAAACCAAACACCACATGTTTTCACTCATAGGTGGGTGTTGAACAATAAGAACACATAGACACAGGGAGGGGAACATCACACACTGGGGTCTGTTGCAGATGGGAGGCTAGGAGAGGGATAGTGGGGGTGGGGAGATTGGGGAGGGATAACATTAGGAGAAATACCTAATTTAGGGGACAGGGGGATGGAGGCAGCAAACCACCATGGCAAGTGTATACCTATGTAACAATCCTGCAAGATCTGCACATGTACCCTAGAAATTAAAGTATAATATAAAAAATTTAAAATGAATGAAAAGGTGTCCAAGCTTCTAATAGCACAAATATTTTTTTCTCATTTGTACCTTTTTTGTCTTCTGTATACAGATATTTCCACTGTGGCCACTCCCCAAAGGGGCTGTTATCTGAGGAATACTGCTGACTCTGTGTCCCCAGGTTTACAGAGCAATCTTTCTGAAGCACAAATTAGATTACATTATTCTACAGCTTAAATCCTTCTGTGCACATCCCATCACCCAAGAGTAGATCTATTATAGATCTCAGAGTGGCATTCAAGACCCTGCTCAATGTGGGTGCCATGCATTTTTTCACCTTTATTTCCAGCCTTCCAATATACATAGATACATCTTCCTCCCACACCCTCTGCAGGCTTTTCAGTGCCATGTGCTTTTCTTCTTTGGGGCTCTTTGAATAGGATGTCCCTCCTCCCGTGTCTGTTTATAGATAGAAACATCCTGTGCATTGGAGGAGTCTGCCCTGAGCACCATTTTCCCAGCATGCTGAATTATTTCTGTTCCTCTGTGTTTGCACAGTTTGTGCACAGTAGAGTTTTGTCAGAGCCATGTAGACTGGTCTCCTTCATGAGTTTGCCAGCTTTTTGAGGACAATGTCTGTCTGATTCATCATCAGATTCTCAGTGCCTAGCAGAGTGCATAGCACCGGTGGTCATGCAGTAGATACTGGAGTAAAGGAATACAATTCAAATAAACAGTCTCATTCACAGATGCAAACCAGCTCCTCTCATGACAGCAGAGAATCTAAGCTCAAACAAATGATCAGAGTTGGCAGTTGAAGTGCTACATATAGGCAGAACTTAATAAATGTCTTTGTCTTAAGCCATTGATGATAGTGATGTGTTTTTGTAAATGTAGATAACCACAAGCAGATGTGTCAAAGCTCTTTTGTCCAGGAATAAACTGAGTTTCGTCATCATCTTGACAGCACTTTCCTGGATTAGTGTTCAGGAAACATGAAAAGTTTTTAGAATATTTCAACAAATGTGTAATAAAAGTTTGTTATCTTATTTGTTGTTATATGGTCTCTTGGCTTGGGTTTTTACTTGGGAAGCTAATAGAGAGATGGGATATTAGAAAACCAGAGGCAAACTGCTGGGGTTATTGAAGCACTAACTGAATGAATGCAGGTATATGAGTAATCCAGGAATCCTATGCTTTAAGGAAAAATTCATTTCTATCTCCTCTGTATTGTTGTTACCTTGTGAACCTGCCTTGTTTTTCTCAGCAGTTGGTAAACTGATAAACCTGTTTCTCACTGTCATTTACCTCATCAGTTTACCAGCCCAGAAAGCCTCCTTTCAGTCTTTAAAAAAAAAAAATGCAGATGCACTCCCAAACACAAAAGTTAATTTTCTTCTTCTTCCTCCTCCTTCTCCTCCTCCTCTTCTTCTTCTTCTTCCACTTATTCTTCTTCTTCTTTCTTCTTCTTCTTTCTTCTTCTTCTTTTTTTTTGAGACAGATCTTTGTTCTTGTCACCCAGGCTGGAATGCCATGGCACCACCTCACTGCAACCTCTACCTCCCAGGTTCAAGCGATCTTCTGGAGCAGCTGGGATTATAGGCATCCACCACCATGCTGGGCTAATTTTTGTATTTTTAGTAGAGACAGGGTTTCGCCATGTTGGCCAGCTTGGTCTCGAGCTTCTGACCTCAGATGATCCACCAGCCTTGGCCTCCCAAAGTGTTGAGATTACAGGTGTGAGCCACTGTGCCTGGCCAAATTTTGTTCTCGAGGCTGATAATCGTACTATTTTTTTTTTTTTTTACAAAATATTTTTGTTCCCTTTTTAAAAACCAAGTTGGTTCTAGTAATATTTAAATTTCATTATCAGGGAAAAATATTTTCTTTTCCTAAAGTCTCAAAATATCTCTGAGAATTCAGAGATAATATGCTTGCTGCTCCATAGAAGGTGGCTATTCTTTAACTTGCATCAGCCTTCCTCATTTTGACCATGCCCCCAGTGCACGTACACACACCACACCGTACCATGAAAATTAACAAGGGAAAAATGGCCTGAATTTTATTTTCTGGGAATGGTGACATTCAAATGAGTTATAAAATATGCAAATATATTTTAGATTCCTGGTGCACAAATCCATAACATTTTCTCCTAGGTTGATAATATGGTCATCAAGTTCTTGGGTGCTGCATTTTGTACAGTCAACTCTTGCAACGCGAGAGAACCATCAGCCACTTGGGGACATGGAGATATTAATGAAAAAACCAAAGAAGGCATTGCAGAGGGAAAGTAATTTGATCACAAAAAATGTAAGAGAAAATACTCAAGGCAGTTAGTCTATTCCAACATTACGGATCCAGAAAGTAGGCCTGTGTGGAGCAGAGATGACCATGCCCTACAGACATCTAATGTACCATACAGACTCAGTGAAACCCTGGCCAGGGGCCTGTTAGCTGGTACTTCGGCACAGACCTGCAGCCTGAGAGACAGAAGGGGCCAGAGGTGGACAAGCAGAATGGGCAGTGATTGGCAGGAGAATTCAACTGTAAGCTTTTCAGGGCAGGGACCATATTTGGTTGACTCTCTGTTGTGTGCTGGGTGCCTAGCACTCTGCTATAGATATGAACTCAATAATATTTGTTTAATGAATGGCTAGCTGGATGAGTTGAGAGATCCTAGAAGGAATCTAACAGGGAATGGATGGACAGAGACTGGAAGGTTTAAAGCAGTGATAACTTACTGTGAAGGGAGTTAGCATGAGGTGTCACTATGGAGGCATTGCGTGTATTGAAAGATCTCTTTGATTGGCCGGAATGTTTGCATAAGAGGTAAGAATTCATAAGGAAATTCCTATGTTACCTAGTCTAGTTGCAGTTTGCCAGATGAGATATTTTGTTATTATATATAAAATAAACACTTGTTGGTTCGTATTTTGAATAAGTAATTAAACTACACAGTAGTTCAACCGACACGGAAGCTTAAATTACAGATTTTATGACACCATCCTGAAGAGTAATGTTGCTTTGAGCAAAAGAAATTCTGAAATGTTGTTTGAGTCCTCAAACAGAATTCAATTATGATAAAAATATCTTAGTGTTTCTAATTCTTTATTCTGTCTAATTCTTTGAAATTAGGATAATTACATCTAATACTTTGGATATCCAAGTATTTGCTTAGACATCTCGCTTGCTACATTTCTCCCTGGCTCTGGGCAGACAGGATTCTATAATGCGGAATCAGTCTAACCAGCCATTTCCAGATGCACTTGGAGGTGGCTGCTGCTTCGTTTAGAAAGACAGTCTTAAGGCCGGGCGCGGTGGCTCAAGCCTGTAATCCCAGCACTTTGGGAGGCCGAGGCGGGTGGATCACGAGGTCAAGAGATCGAGACCATCCTGGTCAACACGGTGAAACCCCGTCTCTACTAAAAATACAAAAAATTAGCTGGGCATGGTGGCACGTGCCTGTAATCCCAGCTACTCAGGAGGCTGAGGCAGGAGAATTGCCTGAACCCAGGAGGCGGAGGTTGCGGTGAGCCGAGATCGCGCCATTGCACTCCAGCCTGGGTAACATGAGTGAAACTCCGTCTCAAAAAAAAAAAAAAAACACACACACACACACAAAAAAAAAAACATGCTGAGAAAGACAGTCTTACTGGAATCTTTTCTTTATCTTTCGGGACTCAGAAATTCACTTTCATTAGTTCAGCCAGGGATGAACAAACCCTACAGGTTGGCCTAAAATCAGATCCACTGGGGGACTGATGAAGACCAGAATAATAGTTAATTATTCTGAGAAAGTGTTACTTCCAAATAGTTGGAATAGTTTATTGGTGGGTAACTATTCTTCTGCCAGGAAAATCTGCCATGAACCTACATTGAGGTGACAAGATAGTCTGGAGAGCACTGAACAGAATAAAGGGAGCCTGACGGCCGTACTCCTACATACTGTTTCCAGTTTGGAAATTCAACCCAAGAGACATTTATTGAGGGTCTGCTGCATGTGAAGGAAAACAGGCTGCCGTTATTGAACCCCTCCTGTGTGGTAAGCACTGTTCAGTTCTTTAACACTTTGGTTTTTTACATGCTTGTTGCATTTAATCTCATTTAATGGGTAAATCACTGTGGGGAGTACGAGGCTGAAAGAAGCAGCCTCTAGCCCCAGGGACGTTCTAGACCTGTACTGTCCAGTGTGATGTCCCCTAGTCACATGTGGTTATTTGAGAATTGAAATGTGGCCTGTCCAAGTTGAAATGTGTTCTAAGTGTAAAATAGACACTGGATTTCCTAGCACACAAGAAATGTAAAATATCTCATTAATAATTTTTGTGTGGATCACATTTTAACATTACACAGTATTTTGGATAAATTAGGTTAAAGAAACTGTCATTAAATTATTTTCACCTATTTTATTGTACCTTTGATGTGGCTACGAGACATTTAAAATTATATATGTGGCTCATATTCGTAATTCATACTGTATTCTGTTGGAATAGGGAACAGAATAGAGGTAAGATATACATTGCTGAGATCGGGGCTCCCTTCCAACCTTATGACAAGTATTTAAATTGGGGTAAACATTTTGAAGGATACTTTGGCAGTGTTCCACAACAAAATCTGGATCTTTCCAGGAGTTACTATAGTATTCCTGTAGTACTGTGTCTGTACTTCAGACACAGAATGCAGAGTTTGACATAGATACGCCTAACATCGTATTTAACTTTTCCTTATGATTCCCTCTAAAATATATGTTCGTATGTTGTTAGCTGTTAATTGACTATAATATGCTGGGCACTATGTGAGGTGTCCACTACAGTGGTAGGTAAATATGGAGATCCAGATTCAAATATTAGATGATTCTCTCTAAGGTGGAAGGTTCTAGAGCTATTCGCTGTCTATAAGTAGCTATGATACCAGATACAAAGTGACAGATGCCTTATGTGTGGCAGGTGAAGAGCTTTGTTGTTCGAGAGTGTGGTCACTGTCTGGCTTGGAGCCTGTTGAGCTGGAGCCTGGAGGACAATAGGACATCCTTGGGCAAGATTGGGTAGGTTTCGGTGGTGGTGATCCAAGGGAGGGAACAGCAAGAGAAAGGCTCGGAGGTGAGACATTCTTTGGGAAGAATGGGGCTAACATTTTCCTGGGACATGGCACGTGTGCAGGGGAATGATAAGAGACTGGACTTTAAAAGTGGATGGCCAGGCTAGGGAATGTGGACATTTTCCCTGACTGCTTAAATGTTATTCAAATGGTTTTTTAGATACATAATTATTTGTCCCTCTAAAATTATGAATATTTGAAAGTGTGGTATTGTCTTTTCCTTCTGAGAGTGAGCTGACTTAGTGCTTACATGTTTTTAAAATAAATTTTGTTGAAATAATTACTTTGAGTCTAGTTTCTTCAGATCCTCCAAATGTGGTATAAGTTTTGTTCCAAGTAGCAACATGTTCTTTTTAGGAATGAGAACTGTAAGACACAAAGAGATGTGCTGAGACAGGAGGATCCATTTTTCTCTGATAGCCAATTGGATGAAGTGTTTAAAAAAGTACGCCAGCTCTTTATGTCTTATATTTTCCATCCTATGAACGAAAAACACTTCCATAGAAATTATTTTTAAGAATATGAAGTCAAATAATACCCACGGGTCTTGAAAAGACCAAATGGGTACACATATTGTCCAAACACAGAGAGTATAGGCCAAGAGTCCTGAAAGTGCTGGAGAGTGTTCCAGTTCAGAGGGTGGGCGGGGTGCAGTGCCTCACGCCTGTAATCCCAGCACTTGGTAGCATGAGGCAGGCAGATCACTTGAGCCAGGAATTTGAGACCAGCCTGGACAACATAGGGAGACTCCATCTCTACAAAAACATTAATACAAAAACTAGCAGAGTGTGACAGTGCATGCTTGTAGTCTCCCAGCTACTCGGGAGGCTGAGGTGGGAGAGTCCCTAGAGCCCAAGAGGCAGAGGTTGTAGTGAGCCATGAATGCACCACTGCACTCCAGCCTGGGTGACAGGGCGAGACCCTGTCTCAATAAATAAATAAATGAGCAAGCAAGCAAACAAACCCTGTTTCAATCAATAAAATAAAAACAGGAGTCAGATGTTTGGATCTAAATCTCAGCTCTACCATCTGCCAACTTTTCTGCTCTGTCTTCTGATATCCTCAGATCAACAACTTTATGTCCACTCCTCTGACTCCACGACCGTTTTGCTTTCCATCAATGCCCTGTGTGGTCAGTCTAACGTTCCACTTTACTCACCTTACCTACTTGGTCCGCCGTGGTGGTTACTCTACTTGCCTCCCTCCTCTTTCTATCCTACTCTCCTGCAAAACACAACCCTGGTTAAAATCAGGGTTATTCGGGCATAACTCTGCACTTTCTTCCAAACAACGGAGCACACCTGGGAAACCCACATGCACCACTCTGATGACATTAAATTAATCACCCTGCCTTCCATCCCTGCCTCTGCTGATACTCAGCCCTCTCTGGCAACCCTACTGCGTTTCCTAGTAAATAGGAAATAGTTTCCTAGAAACTAAAAGCAGTTTCCCAGCTCCCATATCCTCCTGCATTCATCCATCATCTGTCCCCCATCCCTTTCTCTTTATCATGGACACATATGCGTCCTCCTGGTTGAGGTCCGTTGCACCCCAGTGTACCCGATCTGTTGCTCTCGCCTGCTCAGAACTCTGCTTCCACAGCATCTGCCCACTAGCTTCATTAAAGTTCCTCTTTTTACAGGATCATTCTTATTCAAACATTCTATAATGTCTCCCTTCTTTGCAAATACCTCCTCTTAATTCTTTATCTCCCTCCAGATTTGCCTCATATCTTTGTTCCTCTTCAAAGCAAAACTGATAAGTTATCAGTCTGTTCTCACTGTCTCCAATTCCGTACCCCACACTCTCTTCTAACAGTATCTTATCAATGTTTCAAACATGCAGGAAAGTTGAAAGAATTTTAAGGTAAACACCCATAAACCACTACCTAGATTCTACAATCAAGTTTGCTTTATTGCTTGAATACACGTCTTCTCACCCATCTATCGCTTTATCTTTTTGTCCATTCAATTTATGTTTTAGAAACATTTTAAAGTAAGTTGCAGGCATCAGTACACTCACTCCTAAACATTTCAGTGTACATATGATTCATTTGCTTCCCTGTTTGTTTCTAGTTCTCTTTTGAAGTAAAATGTATATACAGCTAGTGCTCCACTTACGACCATGATTGGTTCTGACAGACCGGTCGTAACACGATTTGGTCGTAAGTTGAGTAGGCTATATGCACGCAGAGATGGTAGTGCTGCTGGAAGCTGGTCCGCACTGTCGTACGCCCAGCTGGGCAACGTTTGCGTTGCCAGACCCGGAGCAGTTGTGGCTAGCGATTGTGGTCGTAAAGTCGAATGGTCGTAAGTTGCATAGGTCGTAAGTCGATCAATGCTGTACACTGAAATGCTCCGATCTTTAGTGTACCATTCAGAGTTCTGAAAATGCATGTACCACCTCTGCAATCCAAACCGTTTTGAAGGTACAGAATACGACCATTGCCACAGAAAGTTCCCTCATGTTCCTTCCCAATTCGCCCCTAAACCATCCTCTTATACTCTGCCAGAGGCAACCACTGTTTTGATTTTTTCCCCACCATATGTTATCTTTGCCTTTCTAGAAGATTATCAAAATTGAATCATACAGTATATGTATTCTTTCATGTAAGGCTTTTTTTACTCCGCGTAATGTTTCTGAGATGTTTTCATACCGTGTATATCAGTAATTCATTCCTTTCTGAGTGAATCCATTCCTTTCTGAGCTGCTAAGTATCATTTGTTGTTTGATTATACAACAGGCTGTTTATTCTTTTTTTTTTTTATGGCTGGATGCCCGAGTGGCTTCCAGGTTTTGACTATCATGAATACATCTTTTTGTGGCTGTGTTTTCTTTTCTCTTCGATAAATACTTCGGAATGAAATGACTGGGCCATAGGATAGGTGTGTATATTTAGTTTTATAAGCAATGGCTAGAATTTTTTCTAAGCTTGTTGTAGTTTTACCCCCACCCATGGTGAATGTAGTTTTACACTCTGACCCATGGTGAATGAGGGTTGTGCTCTCTCTGCATCCTTGCCAGCATTTGGGTTTGATGGTCTTTTTAACGTTTACTTGTTCTAGTGGGGATGTAGCAGTACCTCATTGTGCGTTTCTTAAATTTCCTTGATGGATATTAACATTGAGCACTTTTTCATGTGCTTATTGTCACTAGTCTATCTCCCTTTGTTGATGTCCAGTAAATCTTTTGCTCAGTTTTATCAAATTGTAGGCATTCATGATGTATTTGAAAATATTAGTTCTTTGTCAGATATATGATTTGTACATATTTTCTCCCAGGCTGTGACTTTCCTATTTATTTTTTAAATGGTGCCTTTCAATGAACAGAAATTTTAAAAGTTGCCTATTTTTTCCTTTTATGTTGATTGCTTTCTGAGCCATATCTAAAAGCTTTATAATTTTAGTTTTTACATTTATGTCTATGATCCATCTCAGTTTTTGAGTATGGTGTGAGGTCAGGGTTGAGACTTATTTATTTTTGCTATGTAGATATTTAGTTATTTTAGCATCATTTGTTAATAAGTCATTTTTTTTCTCTGTTGGATTTTTCTGCCACCTTCATGAAAATTGAATGAGCATGTAAGTGTGAGTCTATTTCTGAGCTCTCTATTATGTCTCATTGATCTATTTGTTGATCCTGTCCTAGTACCACACTATCCTGATTACTGTAGACTTAGTATGATGTTTGGAAGTCAGGTAGTGTGAAGTCCCCCAACTTTGGTTTTATTTTTTATGATTGCTCTGGATAGTCTAAATACTTTAACTTTCTGTACACATTTTAGAATGAGATTATCAATTTGTACAAAAAAGTTGGATGATATTATAACTGGGATGGTGTTGAATCTATAGATCAGTTTGTGGAGAATAGAAAACTTAAAAATATTGGTATTTCAATTCATGAACATAGTATATCCACTTATTTAGGTCTTTAATTTCTCTCAGCAATCTCTTGTCACATTCTCATTTGAGCCCACTTTTTAGGCTTTTGCATAAAATTCCCCTGAGCCCAGTCTTGAGGACAGCCTCCATGTTTCTACATCCGGTGGTCAGTTCTCAGACCTATGTATCCAAACCCCAGTCCTGAATCTCAGACTTATGTATCCAAGCCTCAAACTTACATATCCAACTTCCTACTGCCCTTCATTTGGGTATCTAAAAGTTCTCTCAAACTTAACCTACCCAAAATGGCACTCTTGATTTGCCCCTAAAACTTACTGTTTCTCCTCAGACCCCACCACCCACAATTTTCCCCAGCTTAATAATTAGACTTTTCCCCTTTACTCATTTGAGTCCTAGGGTCTTCCTTGGCATTTCTCTTTCTTTTACACCCTGCATCACAACCCACATCAGAAAATCTTCTTGGCCCTATCTTCACAGTAGATCCTAGATCTGACTGCTTCTCTTCATCTCCCACCTGGACTACTTCAGTCTTCTCCTCAGTAGTTTGCCTTCTCTCAGTCTATTCTAGCCTTTTCTCATTTTTATTTTTAATTGAGACACAGTCTCTGTCTGTTGCCCAGGCTGGAGTGCAGCGGCACGATCTCGACTCACTGCAACCTCTGCCTCCCAGTTCAATCAATTCTCCTGCCTCAGCCTCCTGAGTAGCTGGGATTACAGGTGCCCACCACCATGCCCGGCTAATTTTTGTATTTTAAGTCAAGAGGGAGGTTTCACCATGTTGCCCAGCCTGGTCTCGAGCTTCTGACCTCAAGTGATCCACCTGCCTCAGCCTCCCAACGTGTTGGGATTACAGGCGTGAGCCACCGTGCCCAGCCCTTCTCAGTCTATTCTTTACCTACCCAGCTTGAGTAGTCGTTTCAAATGGCACAGTGTTTCACTGCCTTAATTAAATCCTTTCAGGGCCTTTTCAATGAAACTGTGCCATGGTTTACACAGCCGTACATGATCAGACTTCCCAGATTCTTCTCTCAGCACACCCTCTACTGTTGCTCTTTCTTTCACAGCACTGACTGCACTGGCCTTTTTGTTGTTCTTCAACACGCCAAGTCTGTAGCCTTTGCAGTTTCTGTTTCTTCTGCCTGGAACCTTTTCCCAGGTGATTACATAGCCTGTCCCCTTAACTTCGTTCAAGTCTCTGCTCAGGTGTCATCTCCCCAGAGAGGCCTTTTCTGACCACCTTATCTAAGGAGTGTGCCACCTCCCCACCACTCACCCCATCTCTCTCCAGTCCCTTACTCTGCTTTGGTTTTCTTAACAGCATTTAGTATTATCTGGCTTTATATAGATTTGTTTTAATTTTTGATAGTCTGTCTTCCCTAATAGAATATAAACTCCCTGAAGATAGAAGCTTTCTGCTTTCATCATTAATGCTGATAGCAATGCCTGTCACATAGTAGGTACTCACTAAGTACATGTTACATGCCTGACCCTGGGAAATTTAAACTTTTTGGTCCCATTTTCGTCACCTGAAAAACGGGGAAAATAATGGTATCTAACTCATATGGCAGATGTGAATGCCAAGTAAGATATTGATTCTAGTAAGATATTATGGCAATAGCTTTGGCTATTGTTTGGCAATTATCATTAAGTAACATAAATGATTTAAATATCTTATAAGCAACAAATACATATATGAATGCAACGTAAGGTAGCATTTTTGTTATGTGCATTTTACAATAGTCGATTTCAGAGGTATAACTCATAATATGTAGTTACTGATAACTAAGTGAGAGGAAGTAGATATAAGTACATGAAAAGTTAAATGCC